AATCATAACTCTGGAATATCAGTAAGTTATAGAATCTATGGTCATGACCTATTTCCCTGATCAATTCACTGCATAGAGACGTACTCTGGGTCTCTAATAGGTTTTCTTTGAGAAGCCCTTCTTGTTCAGCCCGTTTTACTCAGAGAGGAATTTTAGGTTAGAAACCAGTAATGATAGTATTGCAAGTATAATTTGAGGTACTTGTGTTTCACTTGAGTGTTTTAATTCTATGCTCATTTATACTCGATGCTACTCTAGGAAGAACATTTTCAATTTTTTTATTTAAAGGTGCAGTTTGTAGGATCTGGCGACATCTAGTGGTGAGTCTGCAGATTGCAACCAACTGAAACTGTCTGAAACGCAAATGTCCCTATCTGGATCCAGTATTTGGTTTGTCCATTCTGGGCTACTGTAGGAACATGGCGGCCACTCCGTATATACAGTATATGCATATACTGTATATATATATATATATATATATATATATATATATATATATATATATATATATATATATGTGTGTGTATAAACGGCTCATTCTAAGGTTACAAAAACACAACAATTCTTATTTTCAAGTGATTATACACTAAAGAAAACATACTTATTCATATTATATTCAATGTCTTCCAATAGATTACCTTAAATGCTCACACTGTTCCTTTAACAGATATTTTACATGTGATAATTCAATACACTGTTAAATATTAAACCATGGCTCACAACAGTTTTGGCTTGTGACTTTGCACCAAATATTTTGCACTTGTTGCTGTTTTGTTTTTAAGTCTGTTATTCATGTTTTTATGTGACACTTGTGAGACGATCTTGGCCCGGATCCCCTTGGCATCAATACTGTGTTTGTTTCTATAAGGACAATCTTGAGGAGTGAGTTAAAGATGAAATATTCATAACTGCTGAACAGAAACCTTCTCTGCAGATGCAGGAGCCGTCGATGTGCGAGCAGGAGATCTGGTTGTGGCAGGAGCACGAGGAGGTGCAGTTGGTCCCGTAGAGGCCTGCAGGACAGCTGACGGAGCAGTCGTCTCCCTGGACACAAAGGACAGATACAGAGAAACTAAGACACTTACATTTGAAAGTACTTCAGTGTTTTTCTACTGTCATGTGTTCACATTTAGGCCTTGATCAGTAAAGCGTGTTTAAGCAGCCTGTGGCGGCTTTTTGTTCATATTTTGAATGATTGTGAAGCGTCTTGCGTTGCTGAGCGCCTCACATTCCTCCCTCTATGTGCCGTGTGTGTTTGTAGGGGAACCCTGAGACATGTGACTTTACCAGCTGTAGTTACCCTGATCTCAACGGAGAGAGCAGCAAACTAGTCGAACTTGAGATTTTAGGTAAGTTGTTGAGTGGTTCGGAGGCAATCTCTCAAATATCTGCTTTACATTTCACATGGAGCACCTTTGAGCTCTTAACGGTTGATGGTTACATTTCTCAGAAACACACTTTCAACATTATCTTCACTGTAGTCGTCTCCCATCAATAGCTCTGTATATACTGTCCCTCCCCCTCCTTTCTTTTGTTGGTAATATTTTGTCTTGAGTGTAAAAAATCTGGACTTTTGACCCTCTCTTGACATGTTTAAATATATTTAAAGATATTTTTTGGCAGAACAATGTGTCTTGATTCTTTTAGCCTCTGATTTCTGCATGTTTTGTGTCCGTTGTTGTGTTTTGGTAAATTTTATTTTGTTTGTTATCGGTCTCCGTTGGTACTTTTTGAAAGGTTTTACTTGCTGCCTGTTGACCAGGACTCCCTACCGGAGCAGATACAGTTGAACATTTCTGGTTAAATAAATATGAATAATGGATAAACAAAATGAAAATCTGAAGATTACATAGTTTGTCCACCAGATAGCACTGAAAAAATGAATATTCATCTGTGAAACATCCCCAAAAAAATAATAAATCCAAAAGGTCTGTATCGACATTGTTTGTTTATTCACGTGCTAGATAAAAAAAAAAAAATCATCAATATCAATATTAGCCTCAGAAATCGAGTATTGATCAGGATACACTGTCCATGTTATCAGATACTGTAAATACAACACAATGGACCTTTCTGTGGACAATGAAAACTGATGAACATGCTTCTGTCGTGTGAACAGGGCGGAGTCAGATATCACTCCATATTCACTATTCACCAAATTAATCCTCCAACATTTAGTTTGAGTGTGAAAGTATTGCACACGTCTTCCTGCTAACAACCAAACATTGTGTCGTATTCTACAGATGCTAAAAGCTGTCAGTCTGCTTCATAAACAAGTGTAAAGGTGAAGTGAAGACGTTCCTTTAGTTGAATGTGTTTTCTTTCTGTGCAGCGTGCTGAGAGGCGTTTCGTGATGACTGCAGCGCTCATTCACTGCCTGTGCTTCTTGTATTCTTCATGAGGCGGCCCGCTCCGTTGTTGCCACTGTGTGTGGAGGGGTTTTGAAGTTTTAGAAATAAGTTGACTGACAGCAAGTTTTCCACCACCGTCTCGCTCGTCTTCCTGCAGCTCAGCTCCTGGGAAACAGGTCTTGCTTGGGGTTCATCTTTAAAATTCATTATGAGCTCACGACTGCTTTAAATTTGATGGCGGCTGCGGAGACGCAGCACAACAAGCACATGTATTATGGAGGAGAGAGAGACGATCATCACTGACGGCGTCCCTGCAGAGAAACACGATGTCTGTGCTCGTCCAATCAGTAGAGGACGAGGTCGGAAGACAGCTCGGCCTTAGCAGGGCGGCTAACCTTATTCTGCGCTGTTAGCACGCTGTGAAACCAGCTCCACATAAACCTGAACCTCCAGCACGCCGTCGCATTGATCGGGACCTTCAACATATAAACTGTGCTAATGAAAGCTGCCCGCTTCCAACCGGCTATTAATCTAATATTCACAAAGACAGGAGAAGTGAGAAGCCTCATTAATAACTTTGTGAATAAATAACTCCGTGTGGGCCCAATAAAGAAAATCATCCGAATTCCCAGGAGAAGAAGGAGCTTCTAGAAGTGAATATCAAACACATGTGGATCAATGACTCCTGATATCTATCAAACGATTTTGTTTGCAAAGAGGTGAAGTGGAGCGTTATTTTGTATTCATCTAATCTTAAATCCAAGATCAGAACCAAAACATAAATAAAGTATTAATCTAGAAGCAAATATAAATGTAAGAGTGTCCAGAGAGAAGGGTTTTGTGGATATTTTCACAGTTTACATTTTCTGATTTAAAGACGGTGAATAACTGTAAATTGTTTGGAGGAAAACTTTCTGTCAAACTATTTTTCCCTGAAACCAACACAACAGTTCCTCGTGGTACGACACATCTGCAGATTTCAAACCTTGGCTCAGAGTTGCACATGTTCACAGATATCGATTGACAACACCTCGGAGAGATTCAGTTTAAAGCTGGTTTCTTGTCCACACTGACACATAAAGAGCAGCAAACAGCGGGTTACCAGTACAGCATCAGTTCCCTCTTAAAACCAATAACGCTCACGCTGAGAGCAACATCTGACTGACTTCAGCTGCTACGAACCAAACGGACATTCTTCCACAGCGCTCATCCTGCTTTCATGCTCTGAAACCCCCGATGTTCCCTGTCCACTTATCAAAGTCCCCGTCCTCTGTGTGCTGTAAGGTGTCTCATCTCCACTCCGCTCAGTCGCTGTAACGTCAGTCAACACACCAGGAGGGCCGGCGACCACAGAGCCTCTCCAGTTACTGCTTCATGCACATACTTTAATATTAACACTCAATCCATCGGATATTATTATTGAACTCGCCTCCACTGAACCTGACACAAACATTGATCCTGATTCTACTTTTAACGAATCATAAAACTCACGGTTGGGTTATAAAAGTACATTTATCTCTGAAATGTAGTACAGTATAAAGTACAATATGTACCTCTGAGATGTAGTACA